CCCGCCGCCCGGCCCCAGAGCACGCCGGCCCCGCGCACGCCTCGAGGCCGAGCCAAGGTAAGCCAGCCGCCAGCCCGAGGCCAGGCCCTGCCCCGCCGGCCCGACATTGTGCTCGCCGCCTCGCCCCGCGCGGACCGGCCGCCCTCTGCAGCCCGACCCCTTCTCCGGCCCTCGGGCGGCCCGGGGCTGTCGGCTGACCGCATCTTCCTGCACCCACCCCGCCCCCAGAGAAGCCGGCGCTCCCCTTCCCGGGAAATAATCCCTCCCGCCCCCTCCCCCCACGCACACCCCAAATCCCCGGAACCAGCCTTCTGCCAGGTCTGCCCACCCTTGGCTTGGCCTGGGGGGAGGGGAGGGGAGTGGGGAGGGCTGGGGGGCGGGGAGCGTGCATGGCCCGGAGTGAAAGTCTTGGTCTCCCCAACAACATGCTAGCTTCCCTCCTATTCTGACCACAGTCTTTGCGAGCCCTGCTCTCAGTCTCGCCTGCCTGGTCACTACGGCGTCTTTAAGAGCTTTCTGATCCCCAACTTTACAGTAAGGTGAAGAAAATGGAAATCCAGGAAGCTGCGGAAAGATTTTTCGAATGCAATGAATGGGGAGTAGTTCTTTGAACATCTCTTACCCCTTTCCTCTGGCCTGCCTGCCTGCCTTCCCCTCCCCCCCAACCTGGATGCCTGTCTGCTGGAAAAGGCGCGATTGCTTCTCTTCCTCTTCTGGCCAAGATCGGGCTGTGAAGTCTAAAACCCGGTTTAGCCTCACTCCCTGCCACACACCCCTAGAGTCTTCTCAGCGTTCTTGCAATCAGCAATTCCTCTGGACAGTTCTTGCCATAACCCCATTTCACAGACAAAGGCAGAGAAGGGGAAAAAGAACCAAACTGTTTCCTATGTTAGCCATTTTAATGCTGTCCAGCCCTGCACACCCAGTTCCCACCCCTGATGCTGCTTGTGTCTGTGCCTTAAACCTTCAACATGAGAAGAAAAAAAAAAAATCTCTTGGATAGCTTTGTGTAGTTTCTTTATAAATCTGCATTGTTGCTTCTGGTTTATGGCCATGAAGAAAATACCAGCCCCCACCCAAAATGCACCGCAGCCAAGTCGGCTAAAGGCGATGACTGTTGAAGTCAGTAGGGGGCGCATTCTCTGCACTGGGTAAGGCTGCAGAGGGGGGAAGGGCCCCAGAGCTAGAACAGGATGTGCTTCACAGCGCCTTCTACAGACCATGGGAAAATGGGTCCAGCAAGACACACTTGCACTCTTAGTTGGTGAGCTGACAGCAACATGGCGAAGGATTGAGTCCAGAGCAGTGATTTTATTTCTTTGAAGATAGCCACTTCTGCACTGTGCAAGCTTTCTTTTTACTTTGTCAAAATTGTTGACCCTTAAACATTTGTTCTTGATGAATCACCTTGGCACATCCTTAGGTCATAGGTTCCCTTTCTCTAGAACTCTTTCACCTTAAGGTTTGAATGTGTCAACATGTCTTTCCAAGGTCAGGTGGTAAAAAGGAGTGTTTAAAAACCTGAGAGTAACAGGTTTGAGGCATCGATGATCAGTACAGATCTTTACAAAACTCTTTGAGAGTTAAAAGTCACTCTTGAATTTCTGTGGGGCATTGACCTTCAGGAGCATGAGAGGGGGATGTCATGATTTGCAAAGTTCTGTTGGTAAACATCGAGCTCAAGTTGAGTTCTTCATGGTCAAACCCAACAGTTGATTGCAAAAGTTGTTTCCTTCCAGTTTAGTCTTCTAGCGATGTCAGTAGCCAACCTCCTTTGCAGGTGTGACCCCGTCTTCTGTGAGCACCCCCTTTCCCAGGGTGCATGGATTTCTATAGATTTTACTCCTCTTGTTATTTCCGTAGGTGTGAGATGCACAGTGCGAAACCTAGGCCCCAGCTTTTGCACCATGATGCACAGGGTTGTACTTTTTGTACTGAACTGATAGGTGGCCTAGTGGTTATGCCCTGTACTGCCAGTTTGAGGATCTGGACTCCGTTTCCTGCCTTGCTCTTTGGACTGCATTGTCAATTCACACCGGTGGGTATATTCATTTTGGAGGGTGGGAACTGCGGCATCAGGGAAGCCAGAGACTTCTTCCTGAAAGTTGGTGATGTTGTACTCCTTTGCATTCTGCATCGTTGTGTATAAACAGCCAGTTACTATTGCTTTGGTGACCAAACTCAAAAGTTGCTAAACTTCTAAAAGCCTTAATTATCTGATGAGAGGGACGGGGAGGACTGACTCACTGACAGAGAGCTCGTTTAGCATGTATGAGGCCCTGGGTTTGATCTCCTGCACTGCCCAAAGAAGCTCTGATGAGAGCCAGCCTTGCCAGGTGCTTGATGTGCCTGTGAAGATTGACAGAGGATGTTGATAAAGTATCTTAATAGATATCCAAGGTAAATTGATGGGATGCCAAATGGATTGTATGTATTTGGTCTGCAGACAGTGCTTAAAGATGAACTTTTTATTAGATAATTGCTACAGGTTAACATTTGGCTCAGTGAAAAGGAGGCACCTTAGTGTCCTCCATTGTATTTCTCTTAAGACACTACATTGGATTCCTGGAATTTTGTTTTTAGTATTTAGTAATTTGAAAGTCCAATATTTAATACAAATAGTATTGTTTGTAATTTCGAAAATACTATTAGTCTTTGTTATACACACGGTTTTGACCTGCAGTCACATCTATACAGTTACCTAAGTTCTTCAATGATCATCTTGAAGACAGCTTCCTATTTGACTATGTACTTGAGGTGAAGTTTGTGAAAGTGCTTTTGTTCTATTTAGCAAATAAACTAGTGTTAACTAGTCTCCTTAGTGGTGAGAGCCATTTTCCCCTTACAGGAATGTATGTATTCTGGAGATTCAGCAGTTAACCTGGCTTCACTACTAATGGGGCTGGGGGCAGTTGGGTTTGGAGGCTGAAATTTATAGTATGTAAATAAGGATTCTTTAAGCAGCTTCAGTTAACTAAGGGTGGGAAAATGGGTATTCTGTTTAACTTTCTTACCTTGATTTGTTTAAAAGTTTCTTGAGACTATATAATAGAGTCCAGTAGGCATTGAAACTAACAAATCTTTAATTGTGGTTCTCAAGTCATTTCATAGGCCGTACAGTTGGTAGAGTTGTGAATTTCTGATGAACGCTGGGCCCATCAGTCTGGAAGTCATTAATTTTAAATACACCCACTATGAAGTTATTCTGCTTAAATTTCTTCTTAAACCAGAGTTCAGGAAAACTTTGATAGTATCTTAACTTCACAGTGCTAAACACTGTTTTAACCCCACTTAAAAGTATAGCTGAGCAATGGGCTTACTGTCATGTTTGATTACTGAAAGCATAGGTGAGGTAGAGCACATAGGATATCCTATCATTTGACTTCCTTGTAACAAGTTTAAATGATGCTGTCTACAAATTTAGTTGTGAATATTGCAGTTTAAAGGCCTGTTTAATTATAGATGAAAATTGTGGATAATATAAATATTTGACAGAGTTAAGTTTTTTTCAGGATTTTGGGGGATTTTTTTATTTTGTTTTTTGAGACTATATATGCGTTTATAACAAAACAACATAAGTTGTGATTGAAGCCCTGGAGTATTGAACTCATTAATTGAAGAGTATGTATACGTGACCAACCTTGTAAAAGACAGGTGGGGTTTTTTTTTTTTTAAGAGTTGTAAATGACTGCCAGGCATGGTGGTGCATGCCTTTAATTCCAACACTCGGAGGCAGAGGCAGGCAGATCTCTGTGAGTTCAAGGCCAGCCTCCTCTACATGTAAGTTGCAGGACAGCTGGGGCTATATGGAGACCCTGTCTCAAAAAGACCAAAAAAAAAAAAAAGAGTTGAAAATGATTGTCACATTAAATACAAATTTAAAAATCTGAAACATGTAGTTTGGGGTAATATATTTAAATATGGGGGAAAGGATAGCAATTTTTTACAATTTTATATGTATCAGCAGTCTGCCTACCTGTTCATAAATGCACCATGTGCCTGCAATACCTGTAGAAGCCAGAAGAGGGCACCCTGAAACTAGAGTTACAGGTGGTTGTTAACTGCCTAGTGGGTGAAATAAGAGAATTATTTCACATTTTACAAACTTACTCCTTTGTGAGGGCTTATGGTGTTACCCATGGAGCTAATGTCATAATTGGCTGAAGTGGATCACTTTTTATGTTGTGAGTGTGGAAGCTTGGTATGTGATACTGTGTAAGCCCCACACTGAGTGACTAAACAGATGCTTCAGTGCAGAGCTGTTTACTTGTTTTTAGATTGACACTTCCCATCTTGATCATGGAGACACTGTACGAAAGCCATCCGTGGCTGTGGGTGACTTCTGATTTTTCTTGATGGTTTTCTCTAATATACCGTTGAGGGATTGACGTTGTTCCTTCGTTTCTGAGTATCTTAGGACTTCCTACACCTGCCTTTTGTCGTGACCTGCCTTGTTGTCTTCCAGTTTAGAAAAGACTATATTCTGCCTCATTGGAAGGAAAAAACTTCCATGTATTAGCCTGCTTCTCAGATTGAATTGTGTGGAGGATGTAGGCATGTGTATAAAGTCACTGGTAGGATGTGGACCAAATACCCAAGGTGACAGGCGCATGTTCTTCTTTTAGTGGAAAATGTTAAATTCTGCTGTTTGGAGTTCTGGTTCCTTCATCTGTGTGTGTGATGGCTGTCCTTTGCCTTTAGGTCTTTGAGAGTGCTCCCAGTTTACTTGCTATTACTGATCTCTGCCTTCCTAGACAGTTCCTAGAACAATCCTGGAACTCCAGAAGAACATCAGCCGTGTTCCAGGAATAAGAGTTCGGGAGGTAAGAGTTGAACTAAGAAGGCTGGATGTAGCTTCTGAAGGGAAGGTTGCATTTTGTAGGTCTCTTCACGTCTCGATGCTTCTTAAGCCGGACTATAGATTTGTTATTGGGTCTCCCAGCTGTGCGTTATGTGTCGCTTCTCATGTGACTTGGTTGATGGCCTTTAGTAAGGGTGGACTATTATGTGTGAGGACCCCTTCCCTTTACAGTGTTCACAGTAAGGTGGGTGTTCTGAGTGCTTTTGAATCCACTCCCAGTTCTCAGTGCTGTCCTTGTTTGATAAGTAGAGAAATGAAGGTACTACCCCAGTGATGAGGTGGGCCCCAGGTCTGTGTTTGTCTTTAGAATGCTTCTGTGAACTGTTTGGCAAATGAGGGCTCAGATGAGTGTTTGCTAATTTCATAGTGATGTTTTGTGCTCAGATGTCAGCTTACATCCATGAATCCCTTGTGGGCTCAATGATTAAAGACACTGGTCACACCCCTATCAGGAGCGTGTATAGCATGTGTCTGAAGTTACCTGTGCAGGGCTGGAGAAGAAGCCTCCTTATGACCTGTTGCTTCTCCAGCTTTGGTTTTGTTCTGTTCTTGGTCTTTCTCTCAATTGAGCAGTTGCTTTGCTTACGTAATTGTAGGCTTTTACTCTTCCTGAACTCTGTGCTCTATTTAAGAGCTTGCAGAACCTATGCTTTCCTGAAAATCTATACTGTTCTTTCTGGTGGGAGCTGGTGACTTTAGAGCCTTCTAATATTGGTGTCTGTTAGAACAGCACAGCTGAAGAAACTTCTGTGTAGTGCTGTGGCAGGTTTTATTAGGGACAATTTTAATTTAGAGGGTAGTTGTGATGGCACACGTCTTAAAATTCCAGCATCCAGGAGGCAGAGGCAGGTGGATCTCTGAGTTTGAGGCCAGCGAGAACTATATAGTGAGACCCTATCTCAGAAAACAAAAAAAAAAAAAAATTTTTTTATTAGAATTGAGGATTTTAAGTTGATCAGTCCTTATTCTTGTGAAAAATCTGAGCTGACTGTTCTGATACAAAGGCTTTCTAAAATCTTTAAAAATACTAGAAGCAAAATATAAGTAAAACTTGCCTGATGGAACCAGCTAGTGGCAGAACACTTGAAAAACCATCCTTAGAGTTGGGGCTGTAGCTCAGTTGGTAGCTTGCATGCCTGTGGTCCTAGCACAGGAAGTCGGGGCAGGAGGATGAGAAGTTGACAGTTGTCCTTGGATACATAGAGAGTAAAGGTCAGCCTGAGATACAAAATAAAAACAACAACAAAAAACCTGGCTTTTGTTAAACCTTGACCCTGGGTGGTAGTCTAGATAAATTGTTCTGTTATTTAAGAAAGGTATAGAAATAATACATTACTCACTGCTATGGCAAAGTTGTTTCTGAGTAGTTTTCATGGATAAATTAGAGGATCAAAATAACTTTGTTGTATACCATTTTGATGCTTATAAACTGAACATTCCTGCCTGTGCTTAGGCCTGCTTAGTAAATTATTCCTCTTAAACCTCCTTGTCCACTTACACTGACAGCAAGTGGCTATAGGCCTGTGGGACTCTTCACAAGCAGCAGAGTACCAGGATCATGCTTGCTGTGTCCCTGCCTCATACAGTCCTGTTTAAAATGAGGTGTTTGGGGAAATGTTCCCTGTTGTACACTCTTAAGTCTAGATAAGTCTGTTATGATTGATCCTCAATCCTTTTCTTTGCAAGCACTGAAGCATCTTCATTTTTTAAATACAGTTTTATAAAAACCCTTAAATTGATGGAGGGTTACAGGGCTTAACTCTAGTTTCTCGGCTTTCACCTTTTTCCTCAGACACCATCTTCCACTCTGTGTACATATCTTCCACGAACAGGATAAGCAGCAACATCCTAGCATTTCCGGTTGATGGCCCTAGTCTTTTAGTCTGAAAGACTACTTTTTTTTTTTTTTTTTTTTTTTTTTTTTTTTTTTTAGAAAAAAAAAAAAAAAAAAAAAAAAAAAGAGGACGATAAATCTTTCACTGTGATATATCAAAATAA